GTGTGTGTGTGTGTGTGTGTGTGTGTGTGTGTGTGTGTGTGTGTGTGTGTGTACATCCCCCGGGGCAAGTTCTAAACCTGCACGACGAGGATCAAGACGTACTATAGTGCGTTTTACAAGGTGCAATACATTTCCGCGGAAGAGAAGGAATGTGATTGCCCGTAAATTGTTCGCCTGCTAATTCAGGCCAGGGCTAAACATGGAGGCAAACCTCCTAATGATTAGGGTGCTCGTGGGGGTGCAGATATCTATATGAGTAGGCTGTAAGTACGTGACTGCTACGTTACACCGGCCCAGCACGACGCCGGCCATTCCGCTTTCTGTGGCCAAACACTACAAGGTACATTTCCTAAACAAATAGCATCTCAACTGGTAGGATTTGCTAGCTAATTATCGGCTACTGTACACTCGTTCGTGTACGCGCGTACTGCCCCAGAATGCATGCATGCACTACCCGTGCAAGCATCCGATAAACAAAGAACGGTGCGGGAGAGGGTAGATCGAGATAGGTAAGATTGTAAGAGAATGGAGAAAGGTGGTTACAAATTAAGACGCTACCAAGAACGCTACGAATATGCAGAGAAGGAAAGAATGGGGGTGGGGAGGCACTTGGTAGGAAAGACCGGGGTAAAGGCATAATACAGACACAATATTGAAAATAATTCCAAAGGTAGGCACCGCAAAGTGGCCTGCAATGTAAACTGCCCTGGCACTATGATTGCATAACGTCGTGACAATGACATCAACACGGCATGATCACTGATTACTAATTAGTATAGTTTTTACTATATATTATATAATTATTACTACCAGTAATGCTAATAATCGCATAGACAAAATGAGAGACTGGAGCGGACTGCAACTCAATGTTAGATGACTAATCAAAGAACGATTAACACCAATGCTACCTCAATTTTACGCCCCTGACCTTATGATATAAAACAAATAATAACACACACGCGCACGCACGCTGGCACGCACGCACGCATGCACGCACACACACACGCACGCACGCACGCACGCACGCACACACACACAACAGGGTGCGAAATTAACGGGAGTCCGGCGTCAAATACTCCCTGATTTACTGTCGGACTCCCTGATTTGACATATGCAGGAGTCCGTGTGACTCCCTGAATATTCTGCGATACTGACTATAGTTCGTTCCGAAGCACGGCCTCGCGGAATTAGCGTATTTTTTTAGCTAATGTCCCAAGAAAATTTGGCAGACGTGCAGCTGCATGAATCCTAAAAATAAGCACATGCGTTATTGTTTTAAAATATCTTTAATTTTGAACCTCAGACTGCGGACTCCCTCATTTTGTTGCGGACTCTCTCCCTGCGGACACACAAACACACCAGCCTTAAAATAAGTTGTACGTGGCTTAGCTATAACCACGTGGCGTTAGTAACGACGAGGGGGTTTAACATTCAGTGTTATACACACTAGGGTTGTAATTAAGATGACACGTCCGCGACAATTTAAACGTAACTCCTCGTCCCTCAAGCATGCAATTCCTACTAATCCATCCTATTTCCATCACTGAATGAGTCATGAGCATTGCTATGCACAACACTAACCACCAAGAATGCTAAGTACTGTCAAGATATCAGCTGTCCCCACTTGTCTTACATAATGATCTGTAATAGTTAGTAGCATTTCCGCGACCAGTAACACCTCCAGTCATACGGGCACTGACTGTGAGAGAGCCATTAACAGCATTAACAGCATTTATACAGCGTTCGATGACCAATATAATATCTCGTCTTTTTGTGGAGCATGAAAACAGAATCAGGGACTCCAACAAAATGTTCTAGTGCACGCATTGCTCCTGTCCGTAAGATTCATCTTTATTAGTGCTATCATGTGCGGGATGTACTCAACTTATATATCAGAGATACTGAAATCAAGATTAAATTCGGATCGTTTACCAGTGACTTCTCACTTTTTTACATCATTGTTACACTAACCCGAGAGCTACACAGTTGAATCAACCCCCATCGTTATCCTATATGCATCGAGACTAGTATACGACCAGTAAAAAATCCTACTTATCAAAATCTTAGGTTTATAAAACAACAAATGAGGACCCGGGACTGAAGATTTTATCTGCAGTTGCTCGTCAGATATGTTTGCATTCCTACTGAGTACATAGATATCATGAGTATCATCGGTGCTTGTGCATACTGGTGTGCTCGTACAATTTTTTGGCAGCGCAGCACCGTATGTGGTATCTTTCTTAGCATTCATCATATCTGAAGGATAGTATGGCCTAGCTGTTGCACACACGTGTGTGCACGCGAAGGGCATATATATATGTACCTTTTATAGTTTTAAACATTCTGCACTCCCGCTGAGAGTAAGTATTTTACCTTGCTAGAGTAAGTATTTTTTCTTGTTAAACAAACATTTTGTTATTTGTAGGCAGAAGTAGTGAGCTACGGGCCATTCCTAAACCGTTTCACAGGCAGAAACAGTAACATTAGACTCAGCTGTCTACAGAGCATCTGTGGCCCCGTCCCACCACTCCCTACTTTGCATATAATATCTGCTGTAATCTATAAACAGACTCCTATATTAATTACTGCCTGAAATTGCCATTCCTGCTGCAGCATATATGTCATGCATATATTAATTATGCTAATAAATTGATTAGCATAAATAAATTACATGAAATATGGTGTACGTGCGTGCGCATGACTCAGTCATGTGCAAAATGAAATTTCCCCATGAAATTTTAACACATTGCCCCAGAGACGGCTTATCCAGTATATACAATAAAGAACCCGCTAATTATGAGGGTAAATCGATGCTTGTCAGCTCAAGTTTATTTTAGAACTGATTAAGAATAGGTCAGGCCACAGCCAGTTAATAAGTTAAAGGCTACACGAGTAAAGCTGAATTGTGTTATGTCAAGGTCAGGTTAGGGTTAGGGTTAAGGTCCTGGTTAGGGTTAGGTTTGCTGGTCACGCTTAGCATCATGGCGATGACGTGTGTCATGATCGACGTACATATGCAGAAATCTGTAGGCTTGCGCCCACAAGCTGCAAACTGGTAAGTTGGTAATCCTGGTAAAATTAACATTCAGATTTTCATCAGATTTCATGTTTGCAATACGGTGGAATACCATGATATACGCTCGCTATAGCCGATTAACCATTAATCATACTACTGGCCAGATGTCATCGATGGCTATCTTGCTAATCACTGCATATGTCGCGAGAAATTACAAAACAATTACAGCTCCTGGTTAGGTTATATAACGTCTATATAGTGCATCTAATAGGCAACAGCACGTACTGACGTAGTATTCATAAAATTCGCACATACATACCTAGATACAATAATGTAACCCAATGCAGTACAGGTTACTCAGTTCTCTCTAGCATAGGAGCATGCCTGTAGCAGAGTGAATGGCTAACTACAGAGCTAAATAACCGTATTACTAGTAATACGTATCACATGCCATGGTAACTATGATAACAAACGTATTAGTAGAGTGTAAGGCACCTACCCGGTAGTGACACTGGTGGTTCGGTCGTTGATTGCGTCCAGTTGGGAAGTATATTCACCCATTCCAGTAAAGACTCGTTTCTTCTCCGCTTGCCTTACGCGATCAAGCCGATGGCGTGGGACGGCTGAAACCCGAGCGTAAAAGCTGGGAGTCTGCTGTAGGTCTGTACGTGGCATGTGCCCAACGTTGAACGTGCTAACAACCGACTATAGGTTCGAACACAGTAGTAGTACTAGACAAGTAGGCGATGTGCAGCTGTGGTTGGTACACTACTAGTACTAGTTAGCCCATGCATGACCTCGCACGTCAAATGTTTGTTGTGGCAGTAGTAGTATTTACCAGTTAGGCTCCAGCAATCGCGTGCAGAGATAGATACATTACTCGTCGATGGTGTAGGCCTAGTTTTGCCGAGCTGTAATTGTTAGGCACTCGTTCATTTGCGATCACGGACACTGTAGCGTACGCGCGTAGTTTGCGACCCTTAATTATAATACTGCAGCGCCGTGTTGAGTCGCACAACTTATTTGTTTCCAGATGTGGTTTCGAGATACGACAACAGTGGTGTCCCTGCAAAAAACTGCATGCAGCGCTCCCTTCATACAACTCAAGAGCCAGAGCGAGAGCGCCATCTGTCGTGGAGTTTGGTCCCTGCCAGCCCCGGCCGCAAGTTTTTAAATCGTAGGATGACGACTGAAGGATAGGACGGTAACTGATGGTGACGTAGGATGGTGACTGATTAGGGTTAGGGTTAGGGTTTGGGTTAGGGTTAGGGTTAGGATTAGGGTTAGGTTTAGGGTTAGGATTAGGGGTTAGGGTTAGAGTTAGGGTTAGGGTTAGGGGCAGTAAAGCACGAATAATTTATCAATCTTCAGTCTCCATCCTACGATTTAAAAACTCGCGCCCCGACCTGCTAGCGGGAGTAGCGCTAAACTGGTTAGATGGATCCCCTAGACCCTACTTCGTTCATCTACGAAAAATGTAAATAGAGAGAGATATCCATCTACAGCAGCGCCGACCAGGCCAATGTACCCGATACGCACATGCGACGCACCAAGAATAGTTTTCCTCTACATTTTCTTCGCATAGGGCCGGAGCATTGCCCGGTCGTACGGAAATGTACATCCCAGAGGGAATGTAGCGGAATTGAAGTCTGCATAGCAATCGAAAATGAAAAGGGTGTTTTTATATGTAGATGAATTCTTATTTAAATCGTCCGCAATCTCGTGGTTTCGCAGGAAGAGGCTGCGGTGGTGGAAGGCATAATAGCATAACAAAAGTAGTATGTTATAATTATGTTGAAGACGTTTATGTTTAGACGTTTATGTTTAGACGTTTATGTTGAAGACGTTTATGTTGAAGACGTGAAACGTCGAAAGCAAATCACATAGGCCTACATTGTATATAGGTAGGGCCTACTGTCGCGTAGCGCACAGCGGTATAGCGCTAAGTGTGAATTGGGAGTGATGATTATCATCGTAAGAATGTCACTGCTAAAAATTTTCGCATCATATAGGCCTAAGTATTGAATTTGCGTCATTCTCATACAGCTGGCAGACAGCCTACTAATACTACCTATTATTTTTAGTTTTTCCTTACTACGTAGGCCTACTGCTTATTTTAGTTAATTATTCCTTATCGTTTTGTTCCGATCGAGCAAATTTGCATGAACGAATTTCAGATGAGCAAAACCACCGAGGCACATCACACGTGAAATCAGAGTGCATCTTGAGGTTCGGAAATAAAAGCAGTTTGTATTTAATGCATTCAATGGGTAATCTATACGTTGCGCACGTATAGCAGCGCTTTCACTGCGAGAGAACGGTAAGAGCTAGTGTGGGAAGGTCGAGGGGAAAGAGATCAAATGATGCTTTGCGGCGTGCTAGAGCGTTCAATATCAGAATAACATCTCAATCTTCGTTCTAATAAAGCGGGCGGACTTATGTTACAAAATTGGGTCTTTGTAATATCAATTTCAAAAACCGTATTTAGCGTGGCATTTGACCATACTCAAAGTGTAACACATACACACACACGCGCGCGCGCACACACACACACGCACACACCCACACACACACACACACACACCACTACTGGCAGCATAACACAACAGACACACAAGCGCCACACACACACACACCCCGAGGGCAAGCACCGGGGCACGTATCACACATCAGTACTAGACAGAGGGCACTCACAAGCAGCTCGCCGGCTCACCTGCTTGTACTGAGCTGCTGACTTGAATCTCGCCGCTGCGCTGGTCGGCGCGCTGAAACTCGCCGGCTCGCTGGTGGTTGCTGCTGACCACTCGCTTGTGCTGATTGCTGCTCCGCTGACTCGACGCGCTACCGCTCCGCGCGCGGACATGGACACACACACTACACACCACGACACACACACGAGACCGATTAGCATGTACTCCCTTCTCACTCCGTTACTCCGTTAACTCCGTGGGCGGAGGTAATACATAACACGGGAATACGCGGTGTTTGTACGTGTCTGTGTACAACAATTATTTACACCGTGTGTCAGTATTAGATCACTCATGACTCATAGAGGGCGCCAGTTGCCAATGTGAGGTCCGAGAGGTTGGTCGCCGGGCAGACATTACTACAGAAGTACGAACAGAGCTACAGACAGGAGTAATGTCCTCCCTTGTGCAAAAGTCAAGTTCGAGTTATTGATTATATAGGTACTATCATGGGTTAATAATGTCATTATTAACCCCTGGTACTATAATATAGTGTATATATATATATATATATATATATATATACTCATCATATAGTGTACACTGTACTCACTCAACTCACTCAGCTTCACTTCAGTCACTCACTCAGCTCAGTCTCACTCACTCACATTCACTCACATCACCACTCCAACTCACCACACTCACTCAGCATCACATGCACTCAGCTCACTGCACTACTCTACTCACTCACTCCCTCACTCACGGTCACTCAACTTCACTGCCTCACTCACCTCACCTCACTCACTTACCTCACGTCACTCACTCACTCACTCACTCACTCACTTCGGTTTATTTACATTATAAATAGCCCTCGTTAATTAGTTTAATAAAATTTGAAAAGTAAGCTTATATATTGGCAGTGCACAATCGAATGTGTAAGTGCGCCGCGCGCAATGCCGCGAGTTGAGAGAAATGAGAAACGTATACCTGATATTTATCAGGCAGCCTATAATAGATCATTTATTTTAATGAAAATAACTAGTCTCCAGCGCTTTGGCTATATATATCAGTATATATATATTAGGTTATGTTGTGCTCTCGTTGTGTGGTGATGTGTGTGTGTGTGTGTGTGCTGTGTGGTGTGTGTGTGTGTGTGTGTGTGTGTGTGCGATGTGTGTGTGTCTTCGTCCTCGTCGAAATTATCTTTGCAAGCCGTAAGAGGTAGGACACGCACTTCAATCTGTATGTTATGTATGTATGTATGTATGTATGTATGTATGCATATGTATTGTATCTATGTAATGTTATGTATGCTATGTATGTAGTCTGTATGTGATGTATGGTATGTCTGTATGTATTATCCGTATGTATGTATGTATGTATGTATCAGATTATTACTCCAATGTATGTATGTATGTATGTATGTCTAATGGTATGTATGTATGTATGTAATGTATGTATGTATGGTATGTTGTATGTGATGGTATGTATGTATGGTGTGTGGTGTGTGTGTGCGTGCGTGCGGTGCGTGCGTGCGTGCGTGCGTCGTGGGACGCGTGCGTGCGTGCATGAGTATGTATCGTCGTCGTAATGTATGTATGTATGTATCATTAGTCATTTAGTAATTGTCGGATCATACGATAAGGCATAGGCGTAAGCACCGTACCATTGCTAGAGTGCGAGAGCTGTTTGCAAATCGTATCACCCGGAGTGAAGGATGTAACGTGCCACTCCCCACCTCATTCCCTGATCAGTATGCGCTGGTATTGTGAAACGCGTCCTGTTTATCGCGGCCCTAATTCTACTTATAAAGAAAACATAATTAAGATCTTCTCATCCCAATAATCCTAATATTTGGCAGCATGTATGGGCATCCAAAAAATAGAAAACAAACCAGACAAATGCCGACTCTAATAGCCTAAATAGTGGCCAGGTGCTGACTTAATTATATTTACCGAGTGTGTGATCGTTATAATGCGGATGTTGCTAACACGTCCAAGGCATCAGGTTCCACGTTGCACACCTTCTTTCGAAACTCACCCTCAAGCCTTCGTTGTCACTGAAGTTCGTTTTCCGGGGAATAATAGTAAGCGCTGCGCAGGTACATACGCGATCCTCGCCACAGTAGTAGATCCGTTTAGGGAAGGCCTGAATAATTATGACCCAACACTAGTGTTTTGAGCTGTCAACGGCGCTTATATTCGCAAGTAATCGAGCGAAGTTATAAAGGTAATGGTATGCGTCACAATCCCAAACAGCAAGTCGGCCTTACCTTATCAACCAGGATCTTACAATCAGCCGGACGAAAAACACATTGGGCCGCGCTACGACAAACATACGAACCTAATAAGAGCCTAAAAAACTGGAGGTATGAGCAAAATCAATACGCTAGTCGCTAGGGAAAGTTTGCGTGTTTACAGATGATCACAACATACCTAGACGACCACTATATTAATACGTCACACAGTGAAGGCACCGACGTCCTGTGAGTTTTCTTAGTAAATAGAGGTATCACGTGACGTAATAAAATAGACTTGTAAGACAGGGTAAGTTTGACATAAGTTTAAGAATGCAAACTCCTATTTAGAAATTAGCATTGCCAATGCAGAATTATTTCTTATTATATAACTAGCTTGGGCGCCAGCAAAAACGTGCTTAAATGGAGCTGTGTGAAGACACGAGTCTTCCACGTCGCAGGGTCTTTGGGCGCATGGAATACACAACAGGCTAA